AAAAAAGAGAGCTTCATCCCCCCTCCCCGCTCCCAAATGCCTTGTTTTGCCAATAAGCATTAGCTCTGCCTGCTTTGAAATGCAGCCCCAGTTGCGCCGGCTGCCAGCCTGTAATCATAGCTTTTTCAACAATCGGCTAAACTTACTTGTCAAATCCGTGGGCAGGAATCTTTTCCCAGCGAGGCTGAAGCTCTCTTTTTTTTTTTCCTTTCTCTCCCCCCCCCCCTTTCCTTCTATCTAGCCAGAAGGAACCTCATTAGAATAGTAGCAAGCTAAGCTAAAATTTGTTACGCTATCAAGAAGTTGAACTCGTGCTGCAGAAACAGCCTCCTGCACATCACTCGGGAGGAGGATATTTAAGGAATAAAGTCAAGGGATCGGTGCAAAAGGCAGGGGCTGAACAGAGGGAGGGGAGCAGGGGGGGAGTTGCTCCTGCAGGGGAAAAGGCAGAGGGGCTTAGCCCCCCACCCCACCCCAAACACTGTTACTTCAGGAGAGAGGATGTGGCTGGAAGCGTATTGTGTACATACATTCTATACAGAGACGTAAAAGACACAATAGCAGTCAAAACTGTGTTCCAGGTTACTGGTCCTCAAGAACACTTGGATGCAAGAACGGCCCTGAATATTTGCAAACAATATTGGGTGAGCTCTCCGGGTTGAGCCAGGACTGAATTTTAGTCTCGCCAAACTCTTGATGCCCTCCGTGCACAAATACGACAGAATCAGCTCCACCACACGGGTTCTAACAAACCACAATTGCTTGGTCCACCCAGCCCCTGAAGCCCTGCGTCCGGATTTAAGGCCGGGCCCAGCGGGACCTTCAGAGGCAGCGTGAAGAGCCAGATCCAAGAGCCAGGGAAGCTTCGGGAAACTCCAGGAAGAAAAACAGAGTGGGCCCCAGGCAGGAGCCCAACAGGGAAAGAATGGCAAGGCACGGAGCAAAGGAGGGAGCGCTGACTTCGAGGCCGCCCCAAAAAAGATCCAAGAGTCGCTGGGTTTGGTGTCATCCTGACTGCTGCGGGTAAAGGCACGCAGGCATCCGCCAGAGAGCCTCTCCGAAGGCAGCGGAGCCACAGGCTTGTCAACTGGAAGCACGGGAGGAAGACAAGCGCCTATTTTTCTCGCTGGGGATAATTTATCATTACACACCAACTGCCATCCCTGAACCCAAGTCTCCATAAATGGGGAGTCTTCCAGTGACAGCTCTGCTTTCCCCTCCGAAAAGACGCTGGCTGGCCTCGCCCGGCTCCAAGCAACCAGGCAGCTGAGCTCTCCGGAAAACCATCAGCAACGGGGGAGTAATTAGTGGGGAAGGAGGCTGGCAAGTCGCCTGCAAACCCCCCTCCCCCCCCAAAGACACCCCCAATCCCTCAGCCTGGTTCAGAGGCTGGTTCAGAGAGGAGCCTGTGCACAAGCCGAGGGGACCCTGCAGAAGGGACTCATCAATTCAAGCATCTCCCCAAGTCACGGATTCTGTCGTAGGGTTACAAGGGAGGGGCACGGGCCCCCTGGCCCCCAAAACCCCAAGGGCCTCTCCGCATGGGCTTTCCTGCACGCACAAGCCCCCTGCCTGGCTGGTTCCTGGCCAAGGAGAGGCCCCAGAGGCGTCCCATGCAGCCTCCCTGCCCGGAAGGCTGGAGAAAGGAAGGCGCCCTATGAGGCTCAAGGAAAGGAAAAGGGTGCCAGGGGGAAACCCTCCCCTTGGAAGGAGGGGGGGGATCAACCACCCCACTTCAGGGAAGGGCAGCCGAGGCTGCGAGCTGAAACAAGAGGCTGCTGCCCACCCCCGCCACCCGACTCCGTGGGGTTTCGGACCCGCCTTGTTGGTGCTCGGAGCCAACGTGGCACAAGTGGGGCCCGTGTGATTAGCGGGAGGCCTTTCAGATGTGCCCAAGCTGGTTGGCTCCGTGGTGGGTCCATTGGCCAGAGGAGCGGCTGATAACGCGGCAGAGAACTGGGCATGGTGACAGCAGACCTGGGCAGCCGAGATAGGATAGGGTTGAAAGACACACACAAAAACCCTCCCCCATTGAGGCTGGCAGTCCTCCAAGCTGGGCCCCACCCTCCGTGATTTCCTCTGACAAAAAGCCTCCCCTCCCCCCAGGGGGGACCACAAGACTGATTAAACCCCCCCCCCAAAAAAAACCCCCAAACTCTGGTGGGTTGGGAATTCTCACATAGCAACCAGCCCCTCACATCTGGGCACCTCGCTACATCTCTCCTNGAGATGGACGGAGGGAGTGAGAGAGAGACAAACAGAAGTCCCTCACAACCCCCCCTCCCAAAAAAGCAGCCACATACCTTCACTGACCTGGCCTTCCCCCCAGGAGCACAACAAAGTTTAATTTTTGTGTATCATTTGATAGACTACTATATTGGCCACGCGCAAATAAGTCCCATGACCACCTAGCCACGCCCACCCAGCCATGCGACCACTCAGAGGCACACCCACCCAGCCGATCTGGCGCCCCTTCCCCCCCCACCAACAGCCTGAGGAACCGCGAACTGGCCCCCTGTTTTAAAAGTTTGAGGGGCCTTGTTTTATAGCACCGTCGAGAAGCGCCTGGCGATGGATGCCCTCCAGGAGGCGGCCCAAAGCTTTCTTGGTGGGATTTTCTCGCGGGGCTTACGGGGAGTGGAACGCGAAGGAGAGATGAAGGCGGTTGAGTCTACCTGCCAGAGGTACAAGGGAGGAAGCAATTTTGTACGTGGAAGGGAGGACGGCGGGGGTGTCGAGGACGGCCCCGTCTTCAGTGAAGAAATCCTCAAACGTCCAGGCTCCATAAGGGTCTTTCTCAGTCTGGAGAGAGCTTGCCTAAAGGGAGAAGAACATCACATTTTTTTTTATTACAAAAGACCAAGTTCAAATCCTCTTTTAGGCACAGCCAATCAGGGACAAAATCTTAGCAAATACGGTGAAACCGAATAACCGCTACTTTACCTGCGGTAGAAACCCAAGATCTTCCATTTGGCACTTGGCGTAGATTTCACGGGCAAAAGAAGCGTGTTTGCAAAACTCCAAGACATCTAAAATAAGATCTGGTAAAGAGGAGGAGAATAAACGCATTTTCCAAAAAGGAAAACATTTTCTATCGTCACTCGGCAGGTTAAATTTTTATCCTGATGCAAATATCATTTTAGGAAACACCGTTGAGCCAAGCACATCTTACGCAACCACCACAGACCTGAGTCTGTGCAGAGAATTGAAACAGAAACTTAAGCAATGTGCTGCTCTGAGAAGTAAACTAGCAGTCTCGTCTGGGCTTATCTGCTGATATGACCACCTCCCTCAGATTCCAGCTTTCTGCTCATTTTATTTTCTGCACTCCAAAAATATGCAAAAAACGGCCAATATAATAGGGGCAAGATTGAAACGTTTTCAGGGGGAAAAAGAAAACAGACCCAGAAAGACAGGCGTGCAGAGTTAGGTGGCGAAGGACCAAGAGGCTTTTGAATCCAGAAACAGGCCGCAATTTTGCTATTGAATTGTTTTTTAATCCTGCCTAATGAGGAACCTTCTCCAAGATAACAAGTGGGATTTAGAAAATACTTGTAGAGAAATTGTATTCAATAGGCTTCCTTAAAATAGCTTTCTCTTTGAGACATTGTTATTTTAATGCGAATTACCCCTACATTGGTCCTTCAGATAAGATTCAGGAGAAAAAGCCATCAACCTCACAGCGGGCCAATTTTTAAAAATAATTGAATTTGAGTATCGTGATGTGTTCAGATATTCATGACTGGGAGAGACATGGGAACAAGGTCAGCCAATGAATAGGCATAGCAACTAACCACTGCATTTAACCACTGCGCCTCCTATTGAGCCGAGTTGGCGCAGTGGTTAAATGCAGCACTGCAGGCTACTTCAGCTGACTGCAGTTCTGCAGTTCGGCTGTTCAAATCTCACCGGCTCAGGNCAGGCGGCAAACAGGCGCCACACACACCTCCCGCCTCGCTGTTTGGCGTGCGAGGTGGGCTGGGCTGCGAGGGAGGGGCTGGCCCAAAGTCACCCAGCTGGCTTTCGCAGGGGAAAAAAAGGTGGGACTAGAACTCCCAGGCGCCTGGGGAATTGGCTCACAGCCGCCCCAGCGGCTCCCTAAAGCCGGGACTAGAACTCTCCATCCCCCCGCTTTCTCGCACCAAGCTGCCCTCCTGACCTTTTTACTCAGAGTGACATCCATGTTGTTGGAGGTCATGTGCTGAAAGAGGGATCCGAAGGCGTTGGAGATCAGGCCGAAAGCCAGCTCGTACTGGCTGCCTTCCTGGAGGCTGCCGAGCAGAGAGAAGATGGCATTCTTGCACAGACGCAGGCGGTTTCTTCCTGCAGCAGAAAAACAAATAAAATAAATAAATAAATAAAAGTGCTGGCAGGGGGATTCTGGGAGTTGAAGTCCGCCTCTCTTAAAAGCTGCAGAGACGCTCTGCCGTTGAGCGTTTTGTTTCCAGCCGCAGAAACATTCCAGCTTTCGGAAAGGGGAAAGCAAAGCAGCAAAGCAAACTCCCAACCTTCCCGTTTTTTTTTTAATCTCACGCATCTTTTACTCCAACCCCGACGGGATTATATGAGACGGCTGTACGTTAACCTCGGAGTACCTTGTTTGAACGAGCAATAGGCCAGGCTGGCAGATTCCAGAGGAGGGGAAGCCGTCCATTCTGCAAGAGGAGAGGATTTTTTAAAACTGGTTCACCCAAGGCTTCACACGTGCTGGAGATCTTTCGCAGCAGGAGCCCTCAAACTAAGGCACGGCGGATACGGCCCGGAGAAGGCATCAATGCAGCCCGCGTGGTGGCACGAGTTTGTCCCACCCACATCCCTCCACCTACCCACCGGCCCCCACCCACCTTCTGGAGACCTCAAGAGGCCAAAGACAGGCCTGTTTTGGGGCGGCAGAGCATTTCTGAAGGCCCCAGCCTCCAGAGAAAGAGAGAGAGAAGAGAAGAGGGAGGAGAGAGAGAGAGAAGAGAGAGGGAGGAGAGAGGAGAGAGAAGAGAGAGGGAGGAGAGAGAGGGGAGAGAGAGGAGAGAGGGAGGGGGAAGGAGAGAGAGAGGGAGGAG